TAGATGGGAAGGTGAGTGCTAAGGATGACACAAAGAGTCTATGGAGGGATGTAAACAAGTTTAGCAAGTGAGCAAAATGTTGGCAGATGGAATATAATGTGGGAAAATTTTAGGTTACGTACTTTGGCAGGAAGAAGAGGACCTATTTCATTCCAAAGGAGAATGACTGCAGAAAGCCACAGCGTTGAGGGATTTGTGAGTCCTTATGCATAAAACACAAAAAGCTAGCATACAGGTTCAGCAAGTAGAAGGAAAGGCAAATGAAATGTTGCCCTTTATTTTAAAGGAAATGGAATATAAAAGTATGAAGGATTTGCTAAAACTATACATGGCACAAGTCAGACCATAGCTGGAATACTGTGATCAGTTTTAAACCCCTTATCTAAGGAAAGATACACTGGCATTGGAGGCAATTTAGAGAAGATACACTAGACTGATCTCAGATGTGGAGGGACTATCTTATGAGGAGAGATTCAGTAGGTTGGCCAGTCCTTACTGGAACTTATAAGAATGAGAGATGACCTGCTTGAAACATTTCTCAGAGGACATGAGACAGTAGATGAGGAAAGGTTCTTTTCCCAGTCACCCATTTACAACTGAGATGAGGAGGTATTTCTTCTCTCAGAGTGTAGTGTATCTGTGGAATTCTTTACACAGAGGGTTTTCAAGGCTTGGTCATTAAGTGCACTCAATGCTGACATAGATTTTTAATTACAGTAGTAACGGAATCAATGATTATGGGGAAAAGGCAGGAAAGCAGAGGTGAAGATGATCAGATCAAATGGCGAAGCAGGCTCAGTGGGCTGAATGGTCTACTTCTGCTCCCATATCTTATGGTCTAAAGCCTGTAGATAAACATATCAAATGTGGAGCTTGTTTTTGCCAAGTGATCGACAATGTCATCACCCAATATGGTGCTGTTCAAAAGGACACGCCCATAGTAACAGAACTTCAGTATTGAGTCAAAGGGTGTATTGCTGATGTTGTACGGGATCCTGGGCTTTATGCCCAAAGCAAATTGGTACAAAGTTTAGAGATAAC